CACGAAAGGTATTGCTGTTCAATCCATGCTGTCATGGGTGAGTACTCGTGAATGAAAAAAGGCAAGCTGTCAGGATTATAATGCCTACCCACAACACAGAGCAAACCCAGAGACAGAGAAGCCACTGGATCAGCCACTGATTGTGAAATGGTTGTGTCTCAGATGAAGTACAGCAGTTGCCAAGTCTCTGTCCTCCTGGCTTTAGGTTCACCTCACACTCAGCCTAAGCCCAGGCATCCAATCTCACCCTTGAAACTCCTTCATTACCATCAGCACTTCCCTTGCATGTCCCACACCCTTGTACAGCACAAAACTTCTTCTGAAGCAGAACGTGCTCCTTTACATTCAAACCAAAGCCATCATATACTCTAAACAGAGGTCAAGGAAGAAGACAGGTTTTCAAGAAGTGGCACTTACCATCACTGTCCCCAGTGATAACTTCTTCCATTTTGCTTGTAAAAAGATACCTTACCTGTCACTGCCTTTCCATCAATGTCAGTGACAGATAGCACAAGCTGTTAAACTCAGGTATCTGGGTAAGGCAAGGGCTTACCCAGAACACAGAGAAGCTTTTGTTAGTAAGACCTCAGATTTCGAAGTGCCTTTTGGAGATAAAGTACAAGTGTCATCAGATAAAATCTGTGTTTTTTGATGCGGGAGTCAAAGAAAAGGTGAATTGTTCCTCAAAGTAACAGGCAAAGGCACTAGGGATGAGGAACGCATCAGTCCCAATTTCTAAACTTGGTATCAATCAGTTGAATATTTTCATGGAGAAAGTAACCAAGGAATGTGACAACACCCACAGTGGTGGTACACAGCCCAGACCTTAGGACACTCAGCTATTGCCTAAATCCAGGCTTAGATGCTGTCACAGCCTCAGATGCAAGCCCTTGGCTGTCAGCTCTGAAGGGGATCCAAACCTTTGGGGGAATGGTGGAACTCTTCAGAGCGACTTAGTCACAGGCACCTCTCTCCCCTCTCCCTCTGCTGCCTGAGAGCTTCCTCACTGCATTAAAGACTCATCATACCTGCGGCCACTGGAGGGTGAGTTTGTCTCTTCTAATGAAGGTAATCATTTGCATGAATGAATAAATGTCACTTTGAGCCTTAGTTGTCTACATTTGACCACATCACTAAGGGCGTGCTCACATGTTGCAGTCATAATAGCCTGGCCCTGAGAAGCTTTTTCTGATGGAAGTAAAAAAAAAAAAAATAATCAAAGTGGATTTTCTCTATGTAAAGATGGAGTTTCAACCAATTGATATGCCCTGATGACAGTCAAAAGATTCCTGACTAGCTTTAAGCTTTATCCATCCACAGATTATTTAGCTCAGCACTTCTCATCTGGTGTTCCTCCACAATCTTTCCTCATGAGGATGGTTTACTTTTCAGATATCCTAGACAAAGATACATTTATCTGATACCCCTGTGGCACACAGCCACACCAACACCCACACATAGGCATACACTGAGTACAGGTACCACCTGCTACCAGTCTTCAAACCCAAACCATGCTCACATACTGAGGAAGTGAAAAGTCATGCAAGGCTGTGAGCTTCTGGGACAGAAGGACCTACTATCTAGACCTTCCTGCCCCTTCTGTGCTATCACTTCATGTTGTTATGTGGAGGGTGGAACAAGTATTGATGCCAGACCAAAGCTCAAAAGACTCAAAAAAAATCCCCTGGAAGACTCCAAACCCAACTTATTAAAATGTTTTATTATACAAACTATCCAGGGCACATGATACAGTGTCTATGCTGACTTCATGCCAGCTTTATCCTGACTGAAGGGGAGCAGAAAATACACCCATGAGCATAAAGGCGAAATGGCAGTCAGAAAAATTAAAAATTAATAGAAACGTGTCAGTACAGGAATAATACCTCAAACCTTGTGAAAAGAGTGCAGAATGAGCTGAAGTTGGAACAGTGTACCACAGCATATGGCCACAGCTTTCTCTGATGTTATACAGGAGAGTTCTCAAAACCAAATTAAATAACATCACTGGACTGTGGCTGCTAAAGAAGAATTTCCTACCAGCTAATGAAGGCATCACCACTCCAATCCAAGATCATGATCCTGAAGAAAATTCACAGCTAAACTGGGGGACATTTTCCTTTAGCCCTACATTTCCTTGAGCTCACAGACTGCCATTAAAGGCTACCAAAGCCTTTGGTGAAAGAAGATATGCAGAGACACCCTGTGGTGGCAAAATAATATGATCAGAATTAGTTCCAACAGCTGAAAATTCATTTAAGACACGCAAGTGGATCAGAAAAGCTGCATCGTGCGGACACCAAGAAATTCTCCCCAAGTTGCTATTCATGTAATTTCCTCTCTCCAGACATCCTTTCCTGGCTGGCATCTTTTACTCTGTGTGTTTGCATAACAGTCCCTGCCACAAAGATTTTACCTCTTATTCTGTTTGGCACTTTTACTCCAGAGGACAACAGCTGAATCACGGCTGCGACAGTTGGAGGGATGGCCATGGAAATGCTCTGCTTTTGGAAGAGAGTTTCCTGCATCTTCAGCCTGCCAGTCTTGGGTAGGGAAAACAATCAGTCTTTTGTAAGCTGTTGCTGTTGGTTTTTTTACCCCATTCATGATTCATATTTTGTCCTGAAGTCAAATTTTATCTATGAAGGCAGTTTCAGAGCCATCAATATACAGCTCGGGACATCCAGAAATGAAAGCCATCAACAACCAGCATCTGTGCAGATCAGTTTTGGCATCTGAAGTCTTGCAGGTACTACACCTTGCTTATAATGAACTAAAGACAACCTACAGATAAAACAATGAGGTTCCTGAAAATGTTGTCCATTGCTGATATCTGATCTTCATCTGAAGGAAACATATTTTCTCCCAGATCTGCAAGTACAATCCCCATTTTAAAGAGTCATTAACAAAACAACTCCATTAGTGCTAGATAAGAAAGGTGAGAACAATTGGTTGGTAGATAGAAAGCAGTGGTAGTCAAGTTTCACAAGATTTAAGCAGAGAAGAAAAGCAAGGCAAATAAATCAATTATTCAAATACTGGATATTCAGATCTGATTTGGCAACACTTTTAAACAGATAGTTAAAGTATAGAAGGACTTCCCCTCTCATCATTAGAACTAATTACACTCCTCATAGCCAGACAAATTCATCTTTAAAAGAGAAATTAAATACTGTACATGTCCAAAGTATAATTTTTCAAAAATTGTCTAAAAGGCTTAAAAAAAGATCTGAGTATCTTCAGTGCTTTGTTACCAATTTTTACATGTTTATTTTCGATGTTACATTTTCTTCTCTTGATCTTTTAGACAAGTGGTATCAGTACTGAAAGACCCTTCAGTGAGAAGCCTTTGAAGCTCCCTTCTCAGAATCAAGGTAGATGTCTGCCTCCCCAGTTGCTGATTTTACTAGACACAGATTGTTCTGTTCTGCAGAGCTTCACCTCAGCACCACTGTATGCCTAAAATGGGTCTTGAATTTGCAGATTATTTTGTCACCAATTAAACCCCAAAGTCTGTAATTGTGAGGTGTGTAAATTTTCTTTCTTTCACAACTTCTATTCCTTCACATCTTAGTGTAATACTTTAGTGACAGTTTCCTTTTACAGGTCAGTGAACTGTTTGTAATTCCTTTCATAAATGGTCTTTTCTGCCATTTCTGTGGGATATACAAGTCTGACTTACCTAGGTTCTGTTAAAACACTGGGTCTCTCATGACCAAGCCTGAGCAGCAAGGTGTGTCACTCTATGTTCCTTCAAGGAATTTAGTTTCTTGTTAATGTGTATAACCATGTAATTTTGGTAAATGATTATAACACAACTTAAAACTGTTTCAAGGTGTGATCCTGCAAAGCATTAGTACAGTGAGTCCCAGTCACTCTTGCCTGTGTGTGTCCTAAGGTATGAACTGGTTATGGAGAACTGTACTTAAAAGGCTGGGAGAGATTGAGGGGAGAGCAGCATATAAGGAGAGAAAAGATGAAGAGTAAAAGCAGAAAAGTTCAAAATGATTGTCAATTTTGTTTTTAAGCCCACAAACTTTGTGTTATTTTGTATAGAAGATTTGTGGAAAATATTTTTAACAGGCAGGAACAAGACAATAGACATAGGAGGGGGTGAACATGACCCTCCAAGTCAAGCAACCAAAAGTTAATGAAATTACCAAGTATCAAATGTAGCACAGAGAGACTAATTCAATCAGAGAGGCCAAAGGGATAATTCTTGGAGACAAAGCATCACAACGCGGAAATGCAGCCTAATCAACTGCTTTATCAAAAGAAAAAGGAAACAATTTCCAATCCTTAACTAAAATCCCCAGTTGGTTCTTCATCTTTTCAGGGTTCTGGTTTTTGTTTGCAGCGTTTGTTCCATCTCACATTTGTTTCACTGCTTCTGTTCTCTGCACAAAGCTGTTTCACTGGCTCCTGACTCTTCGCTTCTATCAAACGAGCCGCCTCTGCTCTTGGTTTAAGAAACCAGCTTCATCATGAAAGAGAGCATGTAGAGGGAAATATTCATTATGTTTAATGTCCAAGCCTACTTCCCATAATTACGTAGAATAGAGCAAGAATACCCAGAGTCACCTTGTGTCTGCAGGATTTTTCAGAGCAGGTATTTGCTTCATCTGATGGAAAGCAGCTGCTCCCCGATCTCAACTGAACCTCCCATGTAACCAGGACCCTTTGCAGGTAGAGTAACACACCCAGACTTCGCCAGGTACAAGCAAGGGAGAGGCTTTCGGAAAGCTACTCAGACTTCTGTTTTCATCTAAGCAAGTGGTGTTGTTATGACAGATAAAATGAGCTGGCACAAAGGAAAGAAGGACCTCATGGAAGGAAGCGCAGGAGATGGGAAGCACGGCCGAAAAAAGCGAGAGCGGCTATTTAAGAAGAGATTTTCTGGACTGAGCCTTTTCTCTGGGTCTCCTAAGAATAAATTGTAAGTACATCCTAGATTATATTTTGTATACATTTTTAACCAAGAAATTTTGTAAGTATTTCCAGAGCAGCTCTGGAAGAGCCACACAGACACTTTTGTTAGCTCTGCCATATTAACTGTTTCACAAACAAGGAAACAGTTATGGACTAATTAAACAACTTGACCTAAAAACTAGGAAGTCACTGGCAGAAGTAGACACAAAATGAATGTCTCCAAACCCTGTGTGTCTGTGTGTTCCTCTTATAACCATATCCCAATGCTTCCAGTGAGAGATTCAGAGAGGCAGCATCTCTGTTCCTCCAGATATACATTAGCACTGCCAGCCCGACAACCCAGGACACTGGTCTGGGAGTAACATTGCTGCAGTTTTTGTTGCACTGACAGCTGTAACTCCAGGGTGTAATGGGCAATGGCAATGTATGGGCAGCACCAAAAATCACTGTCCAACAAAGTCAGTGCTACTAAGTTTCTTGAATCAGAGCATAATTATTGCTTGTGTTCCTACAATCGTACCTGTATACTTACTACTTTTCGGTTAGAAGGAGAAAAGGAAAAACAAAACAAAAAGACAAGCAATGCAAAACTATTCCTTTTTCAACAAAAGTAAGCAGAGGTAAAAGTGAGTTTGAGCTTACTGCTTTGTGCATGTATTAGTTTTGAGCCATTATAATCATCCATGTGGGGTTTGAAATTCTCTTTTTGGGTCTTTCTACTTGATATTATTCATATTATTCTTCCTTAACACAAATTAAACTGAGTGCATGCATCATGCTAAGATCAGGAGGGGTTTCCAAAAATTGTTTTTTCTCATTCAAGACCTGCATTCCCTACAGATCTCCTACAAAGAGTCTGTCTTTGATAATTATTATGAAATTACCGTCTCAGGAGGAAGTGCACGCAAGTCTCCACAATTACTCAGCTAACTACATTAAGCTTGATAGCCACAGCAGCTGGTTACAGGCTCGACATAAGATTAAAATACACTAGCCAGAAATGAACCTGAGAGCCACATTTTTCTCTCAGACTGATCTAATTGCAGCACAACTAATACCAAGGGCTTGGCTTTGGGATTTATCTTGCTGCACTGCTAAGGAACTGGACTAGAAACATAGTCAAACATCCAAGAAGTGAATTACATCTGTGAGTATTCTCTGTTATTCCTAATTTCACTGAAGCGTGCATTCGGGGGGCAGACAAATGCAAAGCAGTAAAACCACGTTTTCCAGACATTGATCCTTCTGTGTCAGTGATAAATATGGACTTCCCCAGTTTGAAAAAAAGATTAAAAAGAAATTCAACGGGAATGTAGGAACCTCCTCCCATGGTGCTCTCACATTAATGGACAGAGTCAGTCTTCAGACCTTACTGGAGATATTTCTACAGACACATTGCATGGTGGTAGTTTTTAAACACATTCAAGCCACAAGGGCCTACAGAACTCCCACAGTGGTACAGCCAAATGACATCATTTCTACAGTTCAGCACTGATTTGTGAGCTCTCGTAAGGGATTACATAGGTTAGCTGCTTGATTTTGAAGCACCGTTTTATATAAAATACAGTGGTATATAATTTGACCAAGAGACCTTTTCTTTCAGCCCTTCCATCTCTGTTCAAGGTCAGTGCAATATAGGGCTTATCTACTGGCCAGTATTAGTGTGCACTGTTAGTGCACACAAGTGGAAAAAGAACCTTTATGATGGTATGGGGGAGGCCTGTTAGGTCAGATGCCAGTAATTTAGATACACAGAGCTGTATGGAATTTGTCTTCATGCAAACACACGAGGCTTGTGCCACATTCACCCACAGAAAAGCTGCATATTAAAGATCCTACCTAGCTAGCTGGCATCACTGGTTTATGGTTTTGTTTAAATGATGGAAATCCTTTAATCATTCTGTGTTCTAAAACTAATGGTTTGTCCTGCCATCACAGCCAGACTCCCCTTTTTCTGTCCATTCCTGCTTTCTGCAGGTGACCACACGTTGCACCTGCTCCTGGTGTGTCACAGGTATAGCCTGTGGAAGGGTTCATAAATCACACACTAATTGCTTCTGCTGCCCTAGGAAGTGCACAGGCTGAACTTGTCACCTCTCTTTGTGACTGTTGTAGCCCTCAGGGAAGAAGTCAGCTTTTTGAAGACAAGAGGAGATGTTTACACAGGAAAGGCTCCAAGAAGCTGAAGCCAGCACGGGAGGAAATCTGTTCTTTGAGGCAGCCACACTCCGGGAAAATGTGTCCGAAATGCGAGATCCTCAGCTGCCGGAAGTGCGAGACCCTGCACTCGGAGAGCGGCTTCATTGCCCACAGCCTGCTCGACCACTATGACAGGGGAGGAGCCACAGCCCACCTGTGACTGCAGAGGGGTGATTAAAGATCTGATGGGGGTACCCTGCCAGTACCCAACCACATCCCAAACGCTAAAGCTTGGATCCCTCAGGCTCACTGGGTCTCCGGCCTGTGCAGCATCAGCAATTCCAGCCATACTGTAGCTCATACTATACACAGCAGATGCACATGCAGTAATTTAACCAGCATGCACCCTGCAAGCAAAGATCTGTAAGCTAAAAGTTTCTCAGCTACTAAGGACAAGGAATTGTTTCAGAAATAATCTCCAGTTTTCTTTGTTCTCTCCAGGAAACAAGATTATCCCACTGAGCTGCAAAGAAGGACGTGACTATTGCATGCAGAACACTGGGTACATTACTCTTACTTGCAATGCCTTGGTATGTTTCAGTATTGTTTGTGGTCTGGAATATTAAACATTTTATTTTTAAATTAACTAACTTGGGTATGCACTTGATGGGGGAAGGAGGCTTTCTAAAGGCCATGAGGATTGCAGATCACATCCAAACACCCTGCTAGAATTTCTGACCTCTCACAGGCTTTCAACACCTCTCCTATGATTCAGCATCTTGCCTTAAAAGAAGCAACAAGGATCACAACTCTCAAAGTACTTAAGATTTCTTCAGGTTCTTAAACCCAAAACTATAATTTTTAAGCAAAACTATAATTCTTAAAACTGTGTAGTGCAGCTCCAAATAGGAGCCAAATAGGCCAATACACAATGGTAGGGGTGTGTGGCATTAAGGTGCAGGCATACATAAGACTATTTATCTTTCTGGAATTCTTAAGTACAGGTGAAAGGAGGAAGTAGCCTCTGGAATAGGTTATCCCAAGTTTAGCAGCATACATCTTTTCCTCCCATGGCAACTGGCCAACTCTGTATGCAGAATGAATTCCTCACTCTTTGGCTGGCAACAGGCTAAACAGACTTAGTGTCCCATAGCTGTTGACATTAAGGGTTCTTTTATTTAGCCAAGCAGATAGAACACAGGCTGGGAAGTCTGGACTTGTTTCATTAATCCTTTTCCTAAGGACTCTCTGTGTCCTTCCTGCTCCCCTTTTGGAGCTGTTCCATTTTTGTTCCAATGAATGTTTGGTAAGGGGACTGGAATCCTGATTTTTTTTCTATCCCTAGGGAGTACTTTGACTGAGCTATGTCATCCATTCTTGTGTTTTGTTTCCACCTCCTCAGAAAACAATTTCAACAGGAGGAATTCAGAGCCACATATACAACATTCCTGTGCTCCAGAGTATCTTGAACAATACTGCTTAGCTCCCTTTATGGAATATCAAACACTCAATGCTCCTTAGGCAAGAGACCGAGACCATTTCAGAAACTAGACTGAGCTGTCCGAAGCCCAAAGGGCAAAGCCCATCAGGTACCATAGATAGGAGAAAACCTGAGGCAGGATTTACAAATAGGAATGAACTGCTACCAGGAATGAACCCTTCTGCCCAGACTTCACTGGTTCTGTGTCCTTCTAGCAAGTGCCCAGACTTCCTGTCCAAACACAGACTTCTAAAGCCAGAAATTAGATCTTAAGAAGATCCCTGTGCTACAAGGGCCTTAATCCCTCAGAAACCATGTTTCCATGGTGCTTGATTGTAGCTTCCGCTCATTTGCTTCATAAGAGCCAAGCAATGCCTGGCAAACCAGAATTAACCTTTTATGTTTCCCCGTGACTGCTATTCTTAAGCTGTGATCCTTCACAGCCTTCCCAAGAATAAGCCACTCCAGTACTTTAGAAATATCTATTCATCCTCATCCCTCTTCATCAAGCAATCCAGAGGAAACATCTCCAGATAGTCACCTGAGGAAGAGCAAGGTGACAGACTGAAAGGATGAAGGACTAGCTCATCCCAGCAGCATTACTTTAAATCTCACAGTCCACTGCAGTGAAACCAGTTCCAATAGCTGACATAGTTGAGCTTTTAGCCAAGTGTTCCAGAGGGGATAGTTCTATCAGCGTCTGCCTGATGGGATTTCCTTTGTGGCTTGCTGGAGGACACACAGCAAAGCTCCTCATAGGGGCTATTAGTCTGGAAAGGCATCTAAGTAATAGCAATGTGCAAACCCAGCTCATTTTAGGGAGCAACTTTCTCTTCTCCTCACTTCCCCCACAGTTAATGCTGTTTTCCTGTCCTGTTTGAAGGACAGCGGGTAACATGGTAAATCATTTCCCTGATCAGCACTGCAGAAGCACCACTCTTCTCCTCTATCAGTCATGAAGTCAAGCTTGGGAAGAACAACTACAGCGTTTCCATTACGCGCTGAGGTAGCACAAGCTAATATGGTACTTGTTTTCTCAGTAGCTGTTAAATGACTGCACTTTTCCTGGGCTGGCTACCAGAATTTCCTTCAGAGATCTGCCTGGTACTGTGAGACCATGTTTGTTCCTGTCATACACAGGTTTATGTGTGTGGTACTGAGGTCAGGCAATAAGGCCACTACCTTGAGCTTGGCCTGACTTTGATCTCCCCAGCCACGGCACAACAAGGCACATTTGTCTCCAAAAACCCCACAGGCCCCTGCAAACAGTGAAATCCCAGAGCCAGGGAGCTCTGCAACCTCTATGGCAGCACCCACTGACACTCATCCATCAGGACAGCTCCACCCCCTCAGCTCTTATGCCAGACAAGTAATTTTAAAAATTATTTCAAGAAAACTTGCCAAAAACTGGAACATGTTATGTGAGCACAGGCTTTCAGTTTTAGATTTTAAAGCCGGCTCAAGACACATAATTATATTAATACAATATATTGTGAAAGAATTATAATAGAAATACTGATTACACATTTAAAAGATTTAGGCTTGAAATCATTCCTAAATAATAAAGCTATGATCATACCCTGACATATCAGTTATTAAGAGCCTGTACTCCTTAATTATCTGATTCCAATACTTTGAGGAAATTTAAGAGGAATATTGGACTCTATTATATTAAATACACAAATGGGCTCCATCAAAGGCATTCACTAGAATGTGAGTGACTTTACAATCAACAGACCCCTGCCAACACAACTGATACAAGCATAAAAGGGAAAGGAAGCAACTCCACTGGTGAGGGGCAAATCCATGGGAGCTCTTTCCCTGGAAATCCAACACAGGACAAGCAGGAGTATAAAAGCAGCAGTTGTCACCATTTGTTCACAAATCAAAAGATTCAAGGTAAAGAAAGCAAACCCATAAAGTACTCATACAATCAAAAGAAAACTAGAATAAATTAATACAATATATACACTGCATATACCCAATTTCAGTTTTGGTTTTTAAAGCAGCCTAGGTAGCTTTCTCCTCTGCCAGATACAATGAAGGCCTTGAGAAAGAAAAGTAATTTTTTCAGTTGACATGTACAGAGCAGACTAGAAGTAGATCTGGAGAAAAGTAATTACCGTAACATGAGACCATCTGAACTGAAGATGTTTGATATCAAAGTTGTACCTTATGTTTATTTTCTACAGCTGCACAAAGCTATATCCTTTCCAAAGCTTCCACATTTAAAAAGGTGATGTTTCTCCTTACTGTTACAAACATCTTTAACCTCTCATATTATAATCTGACCATTTGATGCCTTCTGAATTCTGTAAATGGTCTAAAATAATATGATCCCACTCAGCCCAAACGAACTTACCATTTCAATACTGCAGCTGGATATTGGGAGGTAAGTACAGAAATAAGCAATAGATTGATGTGCCAAAATTCCAGTCTTTTCCTCTTGGATGACAAAATGCGAAGGACAGACTGTCTCTTCCAACTTTTCACAAAGCAGTTATTTATTTATTTGTTCGTTTTCTGAATCAAAGTCTGTGTACCACAGGCTGTAGCAAATATGATGAAAACCAGAGAAAGTGGTGATCTATTTGCTAATACAATTCAGCAAACCAGTACTCCACTCAGAGCTTAACATGAAGGTATCACAAAATTACCCTCGGTGACCCTATAAACACTGCTTCCTGTCAGGTTCGCCCCTGAGACGTCAGCCTGGAAGGCTTTCCTCTGAGATGTGCTATCTTCTCAGCTATTTGAAGAGCAAGATCAATTTACATGAGGAAAATGCAATGTCTCTGCTGCCAAACACAAACCCAGACCATTTAACAGGCCTCTAACTTCCTCTCCCCATTCTTACCAATTCATTGCCAAGAGTAAGCATAGCAAAGGCAAAGACAACCAAACACAACACAGCCCGTTCAAGGGCTATTAACCAACACAAATACTGGGCAGAAGTAGTATTTCTTAATAATCTCTAAATACCTTCCTCAAGGAAGATGGTGAAGAAATCCTATTGCTTATCTCAAGTACTTTCATAACCTGCATCAAAAATCACATCCAAAAAAACCTCACAACACAAAATAACTTTATTCTGTGCAATATCCTGGTGGTACTTGAGGGAAGGTGTTCCTGCACCTGGAGGTCAAGGCTCCTGCCTCCAGTTTTGCCAATAGGAGTGAGTCTGAGGCACAGACTTGAATGACTTGTTCCAAGTCCCACAAGAAGGCTGGGGTGGAATACAGAACTGACTTGCCTTTCCAGCTATGGACATAAGGATGCCATCATGCTCCCTCCTCTCAGATACCACACACACCAAGCAGCCAAGGTGAACTTGCCAACTTCATCTCAAACTTCTGGGAAAGGTTATGTCTCCCTCAACAAGACAACACAGCAGAGATGTCTGAGTACTCTGTTTCACAGAAAAATACAATGTGTCCCAGAACAGTTACTTATGCAAATTTACATGCTGTGAATTAGCCAAGGATGAAATTACTTTTTTCAGTTATCACCTGCAATGTAGTTTCTTTTTAGCCTTCCTGCCATCTGCTGTAGAATATATATATATATATAAAACCCAGGGGAAATGGCACTTTTAATGCTACTATATTGTATAAAAAAAAAAATCAAACCCAACAAAACCAAACCACAAACCACTTGTTACTTTTACAATATTCTAGAAGCAGAAGATTTTCGGATAGATAAGCCCAAAGGGTGAGGGACAAGAGAATCAAAGCCCTATGCAGACTGCCACCTTGGCTCCAGTTAGGTTCTTGACCTCTAAAAGAAACAAGGAAACCTCAAACCAACAAAAATAAATCACTCTCAACAAAGTAAAAGCACCTTTACCTAAATTCCTACATAAACCAACATTTCTGTGCAGAACAACTGTTTAGTCAAAAGGTAAATATATATGTTTAATTCTCTTTCAAATGTCAACAAGAATCAAGAGCTACCAGTGTCCCTTGGAGAACAAGCAGTAGTTAAAATTTCTCTTGCTGATGTTTGGAAACATTATGTCACATCTTTGAACTAGCAGTTCCCTATTGCACATAACAAATTTGCTCTCCATTTAAGCACCTAAAAGCCTGGTATCTCACTAAATAAATTAAAACAAATCCAGTTTCTTCAGCAACCATCTTCAACATAAAGCAACATTACTGCAAGCTTTTAATAAATACAGTGAGAAAAGATCAGTGACTTCACATTGGTGTTCTGGGGTTTTTGGTACATAGGCTCTAAAAATCACTTTGTGTAGTATATTTAATGAAAATGTCCCTTACATAAGTCAGTACATTTTGCAGGGAACAACTAATCTGAGATACAAATTCCAGTGTAAGGCTGTAAGAAG